CTCATTGCTTTGCTTTCCGCTGCACTTTGCTTCCACACCATGGCTCTTTTCTGAGCCTCTTCCTATCCTGGCATCCAGCACTAGCATTCTAATTCTGACTCTGGTCTTCGACTGTGACCTTGGATAAGGTACAAAACCCTCCAAGCTTTTAACTTTCTCTGAGCTGGAAATCTCCACCAGACTAGAGGCTTATCCCTGAACCTCTTCCTGCTGACCACTAGAGGTGACAAGCAGGAGAGACAAAACCAGAGGAAGTCCAGGTGAAGCAAATCTGGGTCCAGGTACCTGATTCCAGCCCCAGTGCTGCTCTCCTGTGCGAGTACTATCCTCCCTGAGCCTCTAGGTTCTGCTCTGTAAAGCAGGAACCATTGTCCCTTCTCCACTAGCATGATGGATTGATCTCTGGGAAGAAATACAGCTCATGGGGTCCTGGCTGCATGTGCACATGTATGAGATGCTCAGGAAAGAGAGGGGACCCTCTGTGATCACAGACCCTAGGCTAAAGCCATCCATTGGCTCAATCTGCCAGCTATGAAGCACAGTGTAGGACAGTTATCAGCTATATAATTATTTCATCTTTCTGATCACCAAGGTAGTTCATGTTTACTTTAGAAAATTGGAAAGATATAATAGAGTATATTAAGGAAAATAAAAAGTGGTCCATAATCCCTCCGTATAAAGAGAGCCAATAAACTTTAGTTAATTTTCTTTCACACACAAGTACACATCTTTTGAAATTGCAGTTGCATGCTGCATAACAATGTTTTGGTCAATGACAGACCACATACATAGCAGTGGTCCGGTAAGATTACCTATTTCCTGGTAACATCGGCATCGTTGCCATCTTTGTTAGGTTCACTCTGTGATGGTCACACACAACTAAATAGCCCAACAATGCATTTCTCAGAATGACCCCATCAGTAAGCAATGCATGAAGGAAAACATACCGTAGGCATTTCTCATAAGCCATGTACACATACAGAAAAAAAATTAAATTTTCATTATTTTCCTACCATTGAATTTCATTTTTCTCTTGAATCCCACTTTTCCTGAAAGCAGAAATTCTAATCCTGTCAATCCAGGTAACTTTGTTCCACTTCAATACTTCCTTTTCACATATAGGTGACAACTTGGCCAACTCAGAATTTTTCTCCATCTCACCTTTCCTGAAAGTCTGGTCTAAGTTGCTGGTGATGGGGAGAGGGACTCTGGGCAGGGGTAGAGAAAAGGCACCTGGTCAGCTCTCCTGAACTGGTGTTCAGCCATGGCCATTGTGGTCCATGTCCCCCTCTATCCCAGATGCCTGGCCCACTGTTCATTCCCAGAAGCTTCCCCATCACGTCCAGAAGGCCCCCCCACCACAGGCCACTATCTCATGGTGTAACCTTTCAAGCAAAATGCACCCTGCTCCAGGGACCAGGAAATTCAACTGCCCTCGGGTGCCACAGGGGCTGTGGGAGGCAGAGGAGCTGGATGGCATTCACAATGACAAGACACCAGTTACTGCTTAAGCAGGCCCATGGCTAGGTCCTGTTGTCAGTGCACCCACCTCGGTCCAGCTCCCTCTGTCCCTGACTACTTACCAATCATGATAACAAACACAGTGCTAGATATCCAAGATGTCCTTGGACCCTTGTGTGTAATGTCTCATTTTATTATTACAACAACCCTATCAGGTAGGGAGTATTGTGACTCCTATATTATAAAAAAGGAAACCGAGACCCAGAGACTGGAGGCATCTCACCCAAATCACAAAGCTGGAAAGATGCAGAGCCAGGATCCCCTCCCTGCAAAGCATCAGAACCCAGAGCTCACACTGTGATCATAACCCGGAAGTCACACATCTCTGTGCCACACCCCACAGGCATGCACGCGCGCGCGCACACACACACACACACACACACTGTGTGTGTGTGTGCATACATGCACCCGCCACACTCACGTCCTGGTTCCTCGCTCAAGATGTTCGCACTGAAGCGATCTTCCTCACCTTATACTTCCAGTGAGGCCCCTGGCAAGGATCAAATCCCAGAGATTCATTCATCCACCCCTGGTCTGACCATCCGGCATGAGACACGGGCTCTCCACCAGACCCAAGGGTGCTGTGGAGCAGCAACAGGCGAGGTCCTGCCCAGCAAACCGCACCTTGGAGAGGGGCCAGCCCGGGAGACGGATGAGGTTTCCCTTGGTACAGTGAAGCAGGGTGGTCACGGGGCCTCCCCCACAAAGCTGGGTTGGAGATGAGATCTGATGACATGTATAAGTGTCAACTCTGTGCCTGCATGTGGCCCTGGGTAAATGTCAGCTCTTAGCAGCATTTTTAAATGTCACCACCCCCGTGACCCTGAGCAAAGGAGAAGGGCCACACTTCCCTGAAGAGGTCTGTCTGAAGGTAAGAACAGGAGGGCCAACAGAGAGTGGGTGCCCCCACCCATGAGATCCACCCAGGACGGCCACACCCCACCATCATGGGAGCCAACTGAGCTAAAGAGTCATTCTGTCACAGCACAGGAAATCTCACTGTCATATGCCAGCTCCTCCCCACTGCCTTGGAGGCCCTCGTTAGGAAGCAAATGGTCTCCAAAGGGTGGTCCAGCAAGTTGCTCAAATACATCATCACCGAGAAAAGTGGAACGTCCTCCTGACTCTCCCAGGAACATCTGCCTCGCACACACTAGGGCCATCCCAGCTCCTTCTAATTCTGAGCCTGCTCCGTCCACCTCGGTAAGACAGTCGCAGGAGCAGAGCAAGGCATGGACGATACCAGAGGACCTAGGAGGACCTCCTGTGGGTTGGCGCAGGAATGGGCCTGTGGTCACCCCCTGCCTGGCTTCAAGCCAGCTCAGTCACATAGGGCCAAGTGACCTGGCAAGTTCTCAAGCTCGCTGCTCCACCACTGTTTCAGTCTTGTGTTCTGTATTTTTGTTTTGTTTTTCCCTTGCGTTGCTGGGGATGGAACCCAGGGCCTTGTACATGCTAAGCAAGGGCTCGATGAGTGAACTGCAGACCTACCCCACGGTCTCAATCTTAACTAAGAATCCTGATCCCCACTTCTCAGGGATGTGGGGCACATCTCACAGGAGATGAGGTTTGTGAAGTTCTGGACAGGCAGGTGGCCTTGACTCAGAGGTATCCCCTCCTGTCCCTGTGTCACATGAATCCAGAGGATGCCAATGGGAGCATTTCAAGTAGACTCCGCCCCCCTGCGGGTTACTACCTGGGCACTGTTCCGCCCCACCCCACGCAGCTTGGGGCAGCTCTTCTCTGTGAGGACCATGCACCCATTTCACAGCTGTGCCAAGCAGAGAGAGATTGGCTGCTGGGTCTCTGCAGAGCCCCGAGAGGCAGGTCTTCCAGCTATTGCCGAGAAGCGTTCGACAGAATACCTGGAGTCCCGCCAGGCACTGAGACTGAGCCTGCTTGGCACCAGCCCCTGGGAAAGAAAACTGCAGAGTGCGGCTCGTTCCCAGAAACTGGAGACCAGGGGCTTCTGATAAGGCCAGTCTGTTTTCCCAAGCCTGCCAGTCAGTCTGAGAACACAGGCAGGCAGGGGGAGGCTGCTGTGTGCAGCACGACTCGGCAGGGAGAGCCCAGCTCACAGCCCCCGAGAGCCGAGCACTCGGGTGGTGGGGAGACAAGCCCATCTCCCGCACCCCCCAGTCTGACGCCGAGCAGTTTGGAGGCTGTGCACGGCTCTGCCCCTGGGGCATTGGCTAGGGCTCAACCAGGACAGGGGGCTCCACAGGGGAGGGGAAGCTGCCCCTGCCTGTCTGCAGGGCCAGTTCCCACACCGCGGCTTTGTCCTCAGAGTAACTGCTTAAGGAAATCTGGACACAGATCAGTGTCCTCGTTTGACACTCAAGGAAATGGAGACTCAGAGCAGAGAGGCAAATTGCTCAAGGTCACAGTCAATAACAAGGCGGAACTCGCCGCGCAGCCTCCTGCTTTACCCCATGGTGCTGTCCTTCTTCTGCAGTTTATCCACAAGGCCACTGAGAGCGTCACTGAAAGTGGCACACTGTGGAACGAATGTCCAAAATGGACTCAGAGGACCTAAGTGACCAACCTGGTTCTAGCATTAAGCAGCTGTGTGGTCCTGGGCAAGTTTATTTCCCTCTCGGGTCTGTGTAGGAAGAAATCTGGCCCCAACCATACAGATTGGGCTATGGCAGAGAGAAAAGAGGAGCCCAGGAACAGAAGAGGCCCAGCTGCAATCACTTAACTCAGGCTGGGTGCCGCTGCCTGGGTCAGACCAGCTGGGGTCCACAGCCAAGGAACAAGGAGAAGCTCCCCACTTCCTCAGTGCGGACAGCTGAGCCTCACCTTCCTAGGCATCACTCTGTCACCTGTAAGTGGACACAGTATTACTCAGAAGGTCATCATCATGATTAGAGGGGATGGATAAACGCAGGGAGGGAACCTAAGGGTGGCCTGGACTCCTGCAGACAGAATGGGGACCCAGAGGTGCACGGACTTTGTGCCCACAGAATGAAGGACCCAGGAGGGCACCACTTCATACCCTCAGGGAGGGGACCCAAAGGTACACTGGCTCCACACTCATGAGCAGGGACCCAGAGGCGCTCCTTCTTCACACTGATGGGATGCCCTGGCTTCCGTCAGACTGGCTGCAGGGAAGAGTAATTCGCAGAAGCAGCTCTGCGAGGAGCAGGATTGGAAACAGAGAACTTCAAAATCCCTCCATCAAACAGGCCTGTCCAACCGAAGCCCCTCCCCCAGCCCTCTGCAGCGCAAACCCATCTGGCAACCATCTAATGCAGCAGGAATGTTTGCAGGCGGCAGGCCCTGGCCTGGAAGCCGCCTCCCCTGTGGCATCCGGTGGCCAGGTGGGGGAGATCAAGGATGCTGTGAGGAGACCCAGCGGGGCCCTCCTTCTCCTCCCTAGGTGGAAATCAGGTCTGTTATTGCCCAGAATGTTTCTGGTATTTTGATACCGTGAGAGAGGGCTGGCAGGGATGCAGAGGCTCTGGGGTAGTAGGTGGAGCTAGGAAGTTCATTGGTCTCGGGCCGTGTCAATCATCACTGCTCTACAATGGTGAGGAGAGGAGACCCAGGAAGGAGAGCAGGCTCCTGGGAGGCATTGCAGGAAAGAGACAGGCTTCCAGGTGCCGGTGGGAAGGACAGAAAGGATGGAGGCAGACTCTGCAGAGAGGGTGTCACACCCCACCTGTCCCCCAGGACTCCCAGCTGCCGAAGAGCAGCTGGACACGATATTCCTAGCCTGCTCAGGGTGTGACATTAGTGCAGAAGCCTTTCCCCAAGTACAGGGGCAAACCAGAGAGCCAGCAAAACCAGCCTAGAGCTGGCACTTCATGCACTTGGTGTCCAGGTCGGTGACTTTGACGTTATTCTTCCCTTCTCCGACCAGCTGCAATCAATCCTTCAAGACCTACTGGACTTTTCTGCTGTGTCTTTGGAATCCATCCACTTTTCCTAGCCCCTTGAGCCCCCTCAGCCCACCTCCAGCCTCTCCAACCTGGGTGCTGCCCTCCCCTCCTGCCAGGTCTTCCTCTTTGTTTCCTCTGGACCCCCTGCAACTCATCTGTCTCTCCCCTCTTCCCTCCAGGGGCTCCTCTTGCTGGCCTCAGGATCCTCCAAGATGCAGCACTGCCGAGCACTGTAGGTGCTTCATAAAAATTTGTGGAATGAATGAAATGAAGGCGGGGAGGAGATAGAGGAGAAGGGAGCAGAGATCCTTGCCCAAAGGACATAAATAAACTCAGGGGAAGAATGAAGCCTGGCTGTGAATCCAGAGGGAGCATCGGCACAGGCAGAGTATTTTGTCCCCCTCGTTTTAAGTCAGGTGATTAAAATCCTGCTGCAATAGGCTAGGCTTGGCCCTTGAAAGAGTCTGAGACCCAAACATAGAAAAGGGTTTCTCTGAGGTCACCGAGTCCCTCTCCTTCTCTATGCACCCTCTCTGCAGAGCCTAGATAGGCAGTTATGTCTCCTGTTCAGGAACCTTCCAGTGATAGGGCAGTCCCTATCCATCAGGACCACCCTGCCGAGTGACCTCTGCCTCCTAGGAGTTGCATGATCACAAAGAGGAGAATTAGGAACACGGGCCAAGTCCAGACAGGCTCAGGCTGCCCGGCACCTTCAGGTCTCCAGTTCCCCAGGGGTTTCCTCCCCAAGGAACCACTGGAATTCCTCTGTCAGGAAGCGGAACCTCCCTCCATCCACCCCCACCCCCATCCTGGCTGCTGATCTGGCCTCTCGCCAGGTGGTTAATACTGCTCCTTGTGTTTGGAGCAAAGAACTAAACACAGATCTCCCAGGAGCTTAGAGGGAAGCTGGCCAAACGTGGGGGAAGCTGATGAGGAGTATGAAAATGCCGGTCTCCATGCCAGGGATGGACTCCATTAGCTGGAGAAGTGGGCATTCTCTAGAGCTGCCCCTGGAGCTGGGGGAAACACAGCTTAGGTAGGGATGGGGCTCATCCTGTGTCCAATGCTCCAGCTTCTTGATTTTTCTACCCCACCTACAAGCTCCATCTGGAAAGAATTGAGAAGAGCCTGGGCTGTCCCCTGTTCCCATCCCATCTTCCGCCTGCGCCCCTGCAGGGAGCCCCTCTGCCCCACCCCACTCTCCCTCCCAATAAAGCAGACTCTCAGGAGAGACATCGGACCTCACTCCGACTGGGGTAAGGGGTTAATAACATCTAAATGCATCATCTTTCCACAGGGATTAGCATTGGCAGGATCCAGGATTTAAGGGAAAGCAGAAAAGCAATAATGGGGATTTCAGGCCCTGGCCAGCGGCTGGCAATGTGGGGAAGCCCTGGAAACTTCCCAATATCTTTAAGACCGTCCGGACATCATTAATAGCAGAGACACCAGCTTGTGTTTTTCTGGCTTTTCGACTCGCTTTGTGGACATGTCCCTGATCCTCTCTGACCCAATTCCCTTGTCTGTACAATGGGAGTAACACTTCCACTCTCATTAAGTTGTTGTGAAAGTCAAATGCAGTAAGGAGGTCAGGCCCTGGACACAGAGCGGGCACTCCAGTGCCATTTCTTTCCTTCCTTCTTTGACGTGCCAGCAATTTTCCATGGAGGAGTGGACAGAGTGGGGATCGGGGTGAGATGTAGGTAAAGGCATCATATATGTGCACTTGAACCTTGGTTGTTTCCCACAGCCAATGACCTTGAAGCTGTCTCAAACCTGCTCCTCTGCATTTTGCCCCAGGATATCCTGCAACTTGGAGAAATCATCTCAGAGGGGACCTTATAACGGAGACCTTGTGGTTCCCAACTTCCACATCCTTAGAAATCATAAACCCTCTGCAATCATCTCCAGAGACGGGGACGTGATCAGCAGCCACTGTCTTCTTTCATTCAGGTGGCACTCAGTCCAATGTTCTGTTGGTCTGTAGCCACCACGAAGCTCAGTATCTTAAAGCAAACATTATCATCACCTCTTATGTTGCTGTGGGTTGACTGGACTTCATGGACAGCTTATGCTCCACGTTTCCACATGGGACTGTAGTCAGAGGTCCACTGGGATGACAGAGGGGCTGGTCATTCAAAGGTTTGACTGGTCTGGACCTCACAGATGGTTCACTCATGTTTCTGGGCTGTCCACCAGAACAACTACACATAGCCTCTCCATGGGGCTTGCCCATCTCCTAACATGGTGGCTGGTTTCCCAAGACAGAACCCAAGGGTCCCAGGCTGAAGCTGCAGGGCTTCTTAGGGACCAACCTTGGGAGTCTCTGAGCATCAGTTCCACCCATTCCATTAGTCAAACAGACCCAAGCCCAGCCCAGATTCAAGGTGATGGAGATAGGAGCTCACCTCTTTTTGTTGTTGTTGTTCTAATTAATTAATCATGATAGCACAATGCAGTTCAATTCCTTGTACACAAATAGGGTACAGCTTTTTGATTAGAAAGATGGAGGAACTCATCTCTTAACTCGGGAGAGGCCGAGTCACCCTGCAGAAGAGCGTGTGGCAAGAAACCGCCCGGTAGTCATCTCTGGAAGCTTCATCTTCCATATGCAGCACCTGGTCTTCCCAGGTAAAAGAACTGTGCTAATCTCAGGGGTGGGGGACAAGCACTGTCCCAGGAGTCAAACCAGCCCCGGACTTTCCTGTTCCACCCTGGAACCACCCGGCTGTCACCTACACTGACAAAGTTGCTGCTAAGTCCCCAAGGCTGCTAGGAGCTCCCCACATGCTTTAAGGAGCATTCTAAGGACAGCAGGAGATCACCCGCTGCTTTGTTCTGCTCTAACAAGCCTCCGCCAAGCACTGGCTCACTCATCCATCCACCAACCATTCGCCCAGGGCCCGCTTGGGCCATCCCAGAGAGAAACCCACACAGCAGGAGATGCAGTGGTCCATGGAAGACGCGGACAGTCACAGAACACTGCACAGGTCAGTGGACCCCGGGGGGATGGGGTCGATGTGGGTGCAGGCAGGGGAGGGGCTGGCTTTGGTTAGGGAAGTGGAAACAGGGAGAACTTCTCTACCTTCAAACCCAGATCAGAAGCTGCTCTCGAGGGATCCATGTAGGTGTCCAGGGAGGACAGGAGGGGAGAGTGTGGGAAGGCAGGGCAGGCCACCTGGGTGGCTAAGGTGGAAAGAAAGCAGGCACAGGGTGCTGTCAGGAAACAAGGTAAAAAGCGGGGGTCGGAAGGCCATGCCACCTCTTGGACTTAAAACCAAGGGGAAACTTGGAAGCACTCTACCCCCCTCAAATCTCCGTTCTAGGAAGATCACTCAGGGTGCTGGGGACAGTGGCTTAGAAGGAAGCGACTCAAGAATAGCACGATGGTGCCTTTATTATTTTGTCATTGACTTATTAGATTCTAGACTCTGTCCCAGGCTCTTCCCATTCTTTGGCCTATTAAATATCAGGACAATAGCATAAGTGAGGGACTGTATATAGTTATCCTATTTTGCAGATGAGAACACCAAGGCACACAGAAAGGTGAGTTTCTTGTCCAGAGTCACAAATCAAGGAGTAGTGACCCTGAAAACCCAATTGGGCAGGCTGGCCCCAGGGTGTGCCTGTCTCCCTATTTGGTGTGCCCTGCTGTGGCTGCAATTCAGGTGTCAGACACTCAGCAGGGTTCCCGGGCCCCGGCACGGAGTCACTACATGTGAACACATGAGCAAAGGCCGGGTAAGTGTGGAACACATTGCCAGCCCCACATCACTGGATTTACTAGCTTTCTTGCCCTGAAGCAACGTAAACATCCTCTCTTGCTGTTCTCTGTGGCCGCGCCCACCCCGTACCAGGGACACTGATTGAGAAATAAGGCACTGAACCGACTACAGACTGACAGGCGAGCCTCAGAGACCTATGCAGACAGATGCAGGAGCACTTTGTCCTGTCTGTCACAGCATCCAGGGACCCCAACCAAGCCTGCTGCTCTGTCACCCCCCCACCTCCGTCCCCTCTGCACCCTGCTGAGAGCTCTAAGAGAAGCACCTGCCTGAAGCCCGACTTAGCATTCAGAGCAAGGTGCCCTGCTGGAAGGCTGTTGGCGGCAGAGCAGGGGAGGCCCAGCTTTGGAGCACACAGGATCTGCCGGGAACCTCCTGAGGGGCTGGTGCTGAGAGAAGCAAAACAGATGCTCAGTGGGGACAAGTTGCACTTCACAAGCAGTTAGCACAATCCCAGTCCCAGAGATCCAGAGAGAAGTGCTTGTTGGCATCAGGAACTGGAGGAACCCGACTGTCATCTCATTAAATCCTCAGTCACTATCCCACTTGTCATATGGCTGTCTCTGGCTCCCTGTTCTCCTGCTTTCCTTTCAAGAGGTATCAGCATTGCCCAGTGCACCAGGGACAGGTCTCTTGATCCTTCAAGCTGCACCCAGAGCTTTGGTGTATCATCTTGTTCCCCTCTTCCTCCTGGCATTTAGGCCTCCCAAGAAGTAAGGGTAAGAGAAAGAGAAAGAGTAGCCCCCCTTATTCAAAGTTTTGCCTCCCATGATTGCAGTTAAATATTGCCTCAAAATATTAAGTGAAATATTCCAGAAATAGCAATCATAAGTTATAAATTGTGCACCTTTTAGAGTAATATAATGAAATCTGTCCTCCTTCATTCTGCCTGGGGCATGAATCACCCTTTGTCCAATGTATCCATGCTGTATATGCTACCCACCTCTTATTCATTTAGTAGCCTTCTTTGTTATCTGATTGACTGTGGATATATCACAATGTCCATGTTCAAGCAATCCTTATTTTACCTAATAATGGCCCCCAATGCACAGAAGTAGTGAAACTAGAAATTTGGATATGTAAATACGTAAAACAAAAGCCACAATGTGCTTCCTTTGAGGCGGTGGGGGGTGATTAACAGGGATTAAACCTAGAATTGCTTAACCACTGAGCCACATCCCCAGCCCTTTTAATTTTTATTTTATTTAGAGACAGGATCTCTCTAAATTGCTCAGGGGCTCACTAAATTGCTGAGGCTGACCTCAAACTTACAATCTTGCCACCTCAGCCTTCCGAGTTGCTGGGATTATGGCCATGCACCCCCACACCAGGCAAAGTGCTTTCTTTAAAAGAAAAAGTGAAATTTCTCAACTTAATGAGAAAAGAAAAAAAAATTATGCTGAGGTGACTAAGATCCATGGTAGGAATGAAGAGAAAAAAGTCTATAATCCATAATGTGTAGGTTTTGGTACAGTTTCAGGCATTCCCTGGGGGTCTTGGAATGTATCCCCCTTGGATAAGGGGAGACTGCTGTAATTAGCCCCACACCACAGGGCAGTATGTGGGGGAGCCCAGAAGGTGAGGTGACTTGGCTCTACAAACATTTGGCAGAATCAGGATTTTAAGCCCAGACCCTGTGACTCCCTATCCAAGGCTCTCCCCTTTGCCCCTTTTCTTGTCATGTCTTCACCAGTTTCTCTTTGGGACCTTCATGGAGCACATTTATTATCAACCACTGGAGAGACACCATACTGGCTGAAGACCTCACTGAGGGCCAGACTCTGAGGTGACAGAGGAAGAGGTCCCTGTTGCAGGGGAGGGCCCCAGCGATGCCAGAGCAGCTCAGAGCTTCCTTCCTGCAGGCAACAGGAAGGAGGCGGGAGAGAGGAAGGTGAGGATGACCCTCCCCTCCGCGACCAGCCACTGGCCAACTGGACTTTTGCTAAGTATGGCTGAACAGAGGGTCTGGGAAACAGCCAATGGTTTATTCCTTCCCTCCTGGGGGAATTCTCTGCCTGGCCACTTATAGATTACTTCTTTGAAGTAAGTTCTGTATTTGCAAGAAAAGGAGGCTCTGGGAGAGAAGATAGATACAGGTTTCATAGCTGAGCTCATAAAAGCAAAGGAAAAATATTCAGAATTTCAAGGGATAAGTTCCAGAATCTTTCACAAAGATGCCTGTCGCCTAGTCAAATCCTACTCATGAATAAAATGCCACCAAGCAACTTCCACCAGACCTATAGAGCCTTCCACCTGCGTCATGTCAGTATGAGCGTGGGACACCATTTAGCTCCTGGTACCTGTCCTTGACCCCTGACTTGATGGGACTGGGGGAAGGTTTAGGTTGGATGCTCACAACCAATGAAAAGGCCAAGCGAGAATGACCATCCCACCAGGTGTGGTGGTGCAGGCCTGTAATCCCAGTGGCTCAGGAGACTGAGGTAGGAGGATCACGAGTTCAAAGCCAGCCTCAGCAAAACCAAGGCCCTAAGCAACTCAGTGAGACCCTGTCTTTAAATAAAATACAAAATAGGGCTGGGGATATGGCTCAGTGGTTGAGTGTCCCTGAGTTCAGTCCCCAGTAACCCCCCACCAAAAAAAATGACTCTCCCTACAGATTAGCAGAGCTCCTTCAGCCGCTACAGAAACTCAAGTGAACCAGCGTTCTCACAAAGAGGGATCCAGCCGCAGGAACAGAGGGATCCAGGTACTCGACTGCCCTGGGATGCCCTCTCCACCTTTTCTTTGACAGTTGACTTTATTCTTCCAGTTTTAGGTTCTTAGGAGGATGAAATACTGGTCCCAGGCATCTCTGGCTCAGATCTAAACAGATTAATACAAAACAGGGTACAAAGCTCTTCTAGACCAGATCAAATGGCAATGATGCTGGGGAAGGGCTCTGAGTGGCCCGACTTAGAGCACAGGACCAGGATGGCGGTCCCCCAGGTCAGAACCAGGAGAAGGCGAGGGTGAGGGATGAGGGAAAGACCGTTGCCACCACCCTGCAGTTAGTGCCACCACATTGCAAGCTGCACCCTACAGAGGGTCAGAAATGAGGAAAGACCCTGAAGTGGAAAACGCTGCTTGGGTGCTAGCAGGCTGCACAGTGGGTGCCCACTTGGCAAAGAGGAAGCTACTTTCTCCCAGATGCTGGACCCGTCTGTAGGAATTATATGACTCCCCTCCTCCCCTAAGTGCCCCCAATTCTTTCTCCTTGTCCTCAGGCCAGCCAGTTGGGTTCCAAATCACGAAAGACAGTGGATTGCCATGGAAAGACAGATAGTTCTGGAAGCCAGGAGCCTTGTTTTTCTTTTCTGCCTCCAATAGGCTGTGTGACCTAGGATAGAAAAAAACACCTTCTCTGGATCCTATACACTTCCTTTAAAAACCAATGGAGGTGGACTAGTGAGTGCCCAAGGCCCTGCTAATTCCTTCTGGAAGGTCAGGGTGTAGTAGTGGGCCTTCGTGACATTGCCACGTTTAACTTCTCCATATCCGTTCACCCTAGCCAGTTAACTTAGCCATGCCTCCCAACCCTTAGTCCTCACAAGCTCAGCCACCTACAAACCAGCCACAGGCAATGACATCAGTTGGCAATGATGAAAGGGAGAGGAATATCCTAGCAATACTCTACCCCGGCCCACCACATCCTCTGGATAGGAAGCATTGGAGATCAGGGTAGCTACAGACCTGGCTGCTTAACATGAGGGCACGCTTCTTGCCCATCAAGGGTCCTTTGCCAGGGTGTGCAATGTCCTTGGGACATGCATCACATGGTGGCACCCCTGAGGTTGTTCTTGCTCCAAAGCATCTGCTGTGCAAACGATAGCATCAAGCCCCAAGGAAGGGAGGTGACTTGCCCAAGATCACGCGTGAGTCAATGTCTAGGGTTCCCAAGCCTTGGGTTTCCACGGTGGGTTACAACCAGTGCTACCTTTCACAGAGACATACACCTGGGAGCAGACCAGCCCTCCTGGGATGTGGCTCTCTCCTTGCTCTTGTCTTGCTCTCCCAAGCACCCCACTTCCCCCAGTCCAGATGAGCTCACTGCATACACCTCTGTTCCTATTGTGGCCCCTGCCTGGCCTGTCTTCCCCTGGAGCCTGCGCACACACAGGCTCACCCTACAGAACTCTGCTAACTCCTTGACCTTCAAGCCACCTTCCCTGGTGGCTGTTGCTCCCGTTAATCATTAATTCGGTCTCTCAGTGTTCCCTTATGACACGGCAACACACTTAGGATAAAAGCCAGGGTGCTTCTAGTGGCCCACCTGACCACCCAGCCTGGCCCCCACCTAGCCCTTCAGCTTCTCTCCCCCACTGGGGTCCCTGCCTCTGCCCAGTCACGCCAGCCTCCCTGTAGTCCCCAAATCCTTGCAGTGCATTTTCTGCTGTCCTTCTCTGGCTCTCCACTCTGCTCACCCTGCCCTTTGTTCTATCCCCACGTCACCTCCTTAGAGAGCCCTTCCCCAACACCCCATTAAATCTGACTCAGTGCCCTTGAACTCTCTATCCTAAGGCCAATTCCAATTCTTCCAAAGCGCTTGTGTTTGCTTGAAATCCATTAAGTGTTTGGTTAGCTGCTTAGCTGGTTGTCTGTCGTCTTCATGAGAATGCAAGTTCTACAAGGGCAAAAAACTCGGCGTGTCCGCAGCTGTTCCCCTCACTTCTGAAACAGTGCCTGGCCCACAGGGGGCCCTGTACAAATAAATCAATAAGTGAACAGTTGCAATGAAACGACATCTCAGAATTAGAAGGAGCTAGGATGCCCCTAGTGTGTGTGAGGCGGATCTTCTTCGTGGAGTCCCTGTCTGTGTAAACAATCTGAGTCAATCAAAATCAGGCTGTCAGCAGCATCCCATGATGTAATCACATGCCAACCTACAGAAAAAATACCTAATAATGAACAATCTGAAATGAAATGAAGGAAACAATTCTGCTGACAATAGTGTCAAAAAGAATTCTTAGGAATACATTTAGCAAAAGACGTGCAGGACTTATCCTCTGACAACTAAGAGACAGTTGAAGGAAATCAAAGGTCTAAAAGAAATGATTTGGGAAGACATCATATGCTCATGGATCAGAAGACCTCATATTGTTAAGATGGAAATATTCCCAAGTTGATCTACAGATTCAATGCAAATGCTATCAAAATTTCAGCTGGCTTTTTTTTTTTTTCAGAAATGGACAAGCTGGTCCTAAAATTCTAAATGAATTTCTAAATGAATTCAAGGGACCTAGAATAACCAAAGTTGGAGGACTTGCACTTCCTGATTTCAAAACTTACTTCCAAGTTACAGTAATCAAGACAGTGTGGTACTGGCATAAGAACAAACATGTAGATTAATTGAATCAAATTAAGAATCCAGAAATAAATCTTCACATTTACAGTCAATTCATCTTTGGCAATGGTGCCAAAGCAATTCAATGGGGAAATAATAGTCTTTGCAACAAGATGGTGCTGGGACAACATAGAAAAGAGTGAAGTTGGAGCCCCACATCACGCCATATGCAAAAATTACCAAAAGGTGGATCAAAACCCAAATATAAAAGCTAAAACTATAAAACTCTTAGAAGAAAATATGGGGTAAACTTTTGTGATCATGGATCGGACAATGGTTTCTTAGATGTCACCCCAAGTGTGCAAAGCAATAAAATTAAAAATTGAAAAATTGGACTTCCCTAAAATGCAAAACTTTTGTGCTTTAAAGAATATCATCAACAAAGTAAAAAGACAACCCAGTTAATAGGTGTAAAATATGCAAATCATACATTGGATAAGGGACTTGTATGTAGCATACATAAAGAACTCTTATAACTCAATAATAAAATGACAAATGTCCAACTTCTGATGGTCAAAGGATCTGAATGGACATAGCTCCAAGAAAGGCAGACAAAGGTCAACAAGCACATAATAAGATGCTTACTGTCATTATAGGACAATATAAATCAAGATCATAGTGAGACATCATTTCACACCCACTAGTATAGCTAGAATCAAAAGGTCAAATAACAATAGGTGGGAAGGGTTTAGAAAAAAATCGAACCCTGATCCACTCCTGACAGAAGGAGAAAATGGTACTGTCGCTTTGGAAAACAGAGTCTGACAGTTCCTCAAATGATTAACATAGAGTTAACATCTGACCCAGCAATTCCACTCCTAGGTATATACTCAAGAGAAATGAAAATGGGTCTACATAAAAACACTACAGGAAATAAATCGGCAATATTATTCATTATAGCCAAAAGGTGGAAACAACCCAAAGTTCCATCAATAGACAGATGAATAAACAGAATGTGAAATTCCTGCAGTTGAACACTACCTGCCATAGAAAGTAATGGAGTGCTGATTCATGTTACTACAGGGGTGAACCACGAAAACATACTAAGTGAGAGAAATTGGTCACAAAAGATCAATATTGTATGATTCCATGCATCTAAAATGTCCACAACATGGAACTCAAGACTCAGATGAGAAAGCGTATAGATTCATATTTGCTTGGCCAGGGACATAGGTACATGGAGGTGGCTAAAGGGTACAGGATTTCTTTTGGGGTGATGGAAAATCCTAAAATTGATTTGGGTAATGGGCACAAGTTAGGCTTGTCCAGGACTAAGGACAGGAACATCCAGAGAGTTCTAGTCCATGCTGGCCAATCTCTTGTGGCCAATGCAATTGATTGCAGAGTCCACCTGGAGCCCATGTCAAGAAACACTGCAAAGGAGTGTCCACGCTCTAGCGGAAAGGGTACCAGACCTCCAGTAATGTCTGCTAGAGATAGGAAGTGCTGATACACAAACCAAGCATTTGCCAACTATGATTAGGTTCACCCATTCCCTGCACAAACAAAAAAAAGTAAACCCATTGGCGGAAGGGAATGGCCAGTGACTAGATTCCAGGGGGATGGGATGAAGTCTTGGCCTGACACCTGCAGCCCGCAGCAATCTGGCCATGCTTACCTCTCCAGCCTTGCTTCTCATCATGCCCTGTCCTTGTCCATGCTGTAGCCAGTGTGTTCCCGGAAGTACCTGGACCATGCAGTGTGGCCCAGTGTGGCAGCACTGAGGTTTTGACCCCATCCTGTGTCTCCCACCTTCCACAAACCTGTCCTCATCAAAGCCCTCAACGGCCCCAGGAGAGCGGGGTGTTATCCCCACGGGAGGGATGACACCACCCAGGTGCTCAGAGGTGCCTGGCCCAGATCCACTCAGCAAAGCCAGGATTCCAAACCAGGCGAGGGGGCTTCAGTGCCTGTGCTCAACCCACAGCCCCAAGAGGTCTCCAAGGAAAGAAGAGCTTCTCTTGCCCTCCTCCAGTCCCAGCACGCACGAACAAAACTGATGCAGGAAAGAACACTTTAAGCAAAACCCATGAGGCTCCTCAAGGTCACATCGCCCTTGATCCATAAGCTCCTGCACTTTACTCCATGACTTCATGGGTCACCATTCTATACCCACCCCCAGTGACTGTCCAGTTCTTTTTCTTTCTTGCATAGCTAATGATCTAGGGAGAACCCACTGATGTCATCATTTCTGCTTCTTCTCTGATCTCACGTTTGTCACCTCTCCGACGTCATGAGCGGGTCCTCTTGCAAGCCCAGTGGATGCTCTTTGAAGTCTCATCCAGGACTTCTCTGTGGTAAGACACCCAGGCCTTCCTCTACCTCCAAATTCACTCTCCCTATGACTCCTTAGCAAATGCTGTCTGTGGTCCAGTTTCCTCACCTGGCTCTTCCAGTTTCAGCACAGTGGAGGGCAGCTGTGCAGCTGTGTACCTGCTGCCACTTTCACAGCCAGTGCCCTGAAGGGAGTCCACCTCTGTGCCTCGGGGGTCCTCTAAGCCAGAACCCTTGGCTTGCATGATGGCAAGTGTAAAACATGGAGAGTTAATACTCCCAGGGACAACTGGCAACCAGATGGGAGATGGGAGCTACAGGTGAACAGCCATCTTTGGGAGGAAGAATTCTATGGTATGTTCTCCACAGTTCCCTAAAGAGTGCTGGTGGACTTAAGCCCCAGTGGCCATGCAGTGTGCACTCTTTCTTGACCTACCCTTCCTACCCTCTCCAGTTTTAGGGATCTACTTGCACTTACCCCAGTCCTTCGTAGGCTCTGCTCTGGGGTGCCCATCACCATCTCATTTTCCTTCCCTTCAACACATTCATTTCCCATCTCTTCATAGACTGCTCCCCTGGCTGCCGCTCCTCCACCCAACCCTGCCTGTGCCCTTCCACCAACCCGCCTATGTCACACGGGTCCCTTCTTGTGTCCATGCAGCACTTCCCACCCGCAGCACTGTTCCCTTTATTCCTTGACCACCTCTCCCATGAGCCCAACTGTCCCCCACAACTGACAACTGCCACCTACCCCAGCAGGATTGGGGTAGGATTTAGATCCTAAAGGCCACGACTTTCCACGCACGGAGCTGGTGGATCCACTGGGCTCAGCAGAGAGATGGGAACTGAGCTACTTTCTGCACCCACTTCCGTCCCAGCATTATGAGTTCTAGCTGAACTTGTAAACATCCGGGTCTCTTTAGGAGGTGGGAAGCAGGCAGGGAGCCAAGGAGAGCATCTGCCTTCTGTTCCAGGTGCAGCTCCCCCGCTCACACACCTTCACGTGGGATTTACCAGACTATCAGAGGGAGGCCAATGGGCCAGCCAGACAGCATCTGTGACTTGTGAGGTCCAGGATGATCCGAGGACAGCCATGGGCCCAACAAAGTGCAATGACCTCCATCTAAGTCGAGGGGAAAAGCCCAACTCAGAGAACATCTGCCAACCCTCTCTACACCAGGCCCTGGGCTGGTTCCTGAAGGGAAAAGAACCTTCCCCAAGCAGGTCCCTGTCCTCAGGTGGGGCTCAATCTAGTGGGAATGTATACTTAATTCCAGTCCCTGACTTCTGGCGCCCAAGTTCTCATCAAGAAAAAGCACAGTCAATAAGAAGATTAGCTAACGTTTATTGAGGGCTTACTCAATATGCCAGGGTTTCCTGAGCATTGTGAAAGCATTAAATTATTTACTTACCACAGTAACCCTGGGTGGCATGCTGGGGCCGGCTCCTAGCCGCTCACGAGAGCCAGTTGTTAAATTTTCAGGAATTTTACAAGCAGGGTGTTAAATACAGCTATTATTTTTAAAAAATTAAATTACATAAAGTCACAATTAAATAAATTATTGTAAAAACAAAAGTAATAAATTCTCAGAGTTCATCGCTTCCCAATTATCTCACTGCCTGCTATTGTTCCCCGGGTTCCTGAGGCCGTCAGCATCAACCTCGTCTGCCTGGTTGGAAACACTACACAATGGTGGCCCCCCAGAGTGTCTCTTCCAGGATCTGTGTCTGGTGACGTCATGGTGGAAATGGACAGAGGCGACAACCAGGGCTTGATTTCTGTGTTGTGGTTGGTTTTCCTAGACGCAAGAAAATACTTGTCATCCAATTCAACCAAGTCGATTCATGCCTTTGACAAACGAGCGACACTGGTTCCTTCGCCCCTGCTTCTTCATTTTTAAGTTACTCAAGGTAAACAAAAGTCCCAACCAACTTCCAGGCAAGAACTGCACCCAGAGAGCCTGCTACTAAACATTTACAACAGACATGCAGTGCCTCTTGGGTGAGCAGGAATAGCCAGGTTAGAAAGAGCCACAGCAGGAGCCAAGCTCTGCATCCATACCCAGAGCATCTCCACTGCCCCCTTTCTCCCTGGTAATCCTGGACAAGCCCTCAGGGGGAGCTGGTTTCTGGCCTATTCCATCTGCTCCCCACCCCAGACAAGAGGGGCTCAGGCCAGTCCCTGCAGGTGGGGCACAGGAGACAGACGGGGTAGATAGGGAGCCCAGGCGAGCAAGGAAGTGCTGAGAGGCCAGCAGGAAAATGAAGCCAAATGGGGCAACATCAGGCCTGGTCCAAGGTGGCCCTTTTCAGAAGACAGATTAGATTAGGTAAAGAAAAACGCAAAGCAGACAGTGTGGGCAGAGCTGCCCGAGATTCCCGCAGCAGAAGCCAAGGCCCTCAGTCACTCCTTAGGCCCTGTGGACTCGTGCCTGAGCAGGGAGATGGCTAAGACGCCAACCTGGCTTGGAAACTCTCCTTGCACTACGAGACAGGCCACTGCAGCCTCCCAGAATGTGGCCTCACCAAGGAGCCCTTTGCAGCAGGCCCAAAGGTGGCCAAAGACCAGGAAGCAGATTCAGGGACACCTCAGAGGTAAGAAGAGATGGCTCTGGGGCCTCATTTATATGGTGACAATAAAGTTCAACTTCCCCGGGTCTCTGAGGTCCTTCCCGCAGTGCTCAAGACCCTTCCCAGCCTCTCCCCACAAAGTGCCTCTGACAGTCCAGCCATAAGAAACCTCCCACTTCCCCAGACAAACAGGGCCCATTTCTCCCTCTGAAACCTTGCACAGGTTGGTGCTTCTGGCTGGGGAAGTCAGGGAAGGCTTTGCAGACCAGGTGATGTCTATGCCAGGTGCTGGAGAGGTGAGCAAAGTTGTAGGGGAAAGGCATCTAACAGCCCAGATCCCCCTCTTGCACGTGCACAGAGCGTTCATTGCAGCAACCTCTCGACTGTACTATCACAAGCCCCCATAATGGTGGAGGCACGGCCTCTCTGGCACCCAGTAGGAACTCCAGTCGATGTGCAGGCTGCGTAGCTTGGGCAAGTTGCCCAGCATCGAGAAGTGCAGTCGTGTTAGCTGCGAGCCACATGCAACTGCTGATCCAGAACTATGTTTGACCTACAAAACTAGCAATTTCATATGTTCCAACCTAATAGCCTCTCTGTGACTCTGTAAATGGGGTTAATAGCAGTACCACTCTCCCTGGATTGTTGGGGAGATTAAATGAATTAACACCTGTGTGAACACCTGCGCTGCAGCCTGGCACGCAGCAAGCAGGTGATAACAATAGCTGACGTTGCGCAGCACCTACTATGTTCCGGCAGTGTCTGAGTGCACTGCCTGGGGAAACCACCGGCTCATCCAGCCATTGGCCGTAAGTCCTGCTCTTATCCCCACTTCCCAGAGGAGGAAGGGGAGCCACAGAGAGGCAAAACACTCGCCTGAATTTACACCGAAGGAAGGTGAGGAGCATGGATTTGAATTCAGCAATTTGTGTTGTCAAAAATGCATGGATGAAGTGGTGCATGCCTGTAATCCCAGCAGCTCAGAAGGCTGAGGCAGGAGGATCATGAGTTCAAAGCCAGCCTCAGCAACTAAGTGAGGCCCTGTCTCTAAGTAAAATACATAAAAAAGGACTAGGAATGTGGCTCAGTGGTTAAGCACCTTAGTTCAATCTCTAGTACAAAAAAAAGAAAGAAAGAAAGAAACCCACTACACTACACAGCTTCTCTGATAGGATCAAAGTGTGCTATTATTGCTCACCGCCACAGAGAGTGCCACTGGATGGGGGGGGGGGTGTTAAGGTAACGAGGGACTCCCTATAGGATTTGGGTTTGGGGAGCTTATGTAAATATAGGTGGGGCTGGGCGGGTGGAGGTCTGGAGAGGACCAGAGAAGTCACCAGCAGCCTGGGGCACTGGCTCAGGTGGGCAGGTGCAGGGGGTTCATGGAGTTTACTCTGGGGCACTTGAAGGCCAGCACTTGGCAGATGGCTTGAGACCATCACCCGTCAGATGTGCAAGGCCGGGAGTCAGGAAGATGAACTGGACCCTGGAGCCTTCTGGGCACCTTTGCATCTATCTTTGTGTCTGACTGCAGTGACCTTTTGAAAATGATGAATTCTTATGTGCTTCCACCTTCAAAATCTCATACAATTCACTTTGGTCAACCCTAACTCAGAACCCACAGAGAACGGGATTCTGGGAGATATAAATCCCAGGTTTGGTCAAATCGACAGACCCCACAACATCCTGGATAGTGAGTCTGAGAATAGTGGCGCAGAGTGAACCCAGGGAGAGGAGGATGGGGTTCGTCCAGCATTCTTCCCATCTCCCCTTCTCTTGGCAACAGAAATCCACTATCCCACAGAAAAGCCATTCCTCAAGATGGCACTCAGGACCTGCCCCTCAGACACCCACTTCCCAGCCCCTTCTCCAGCTGTGCCCTGCCACCCACTCCACTGGCCTTCGCCATCCTCAAACACTCAAAGCCCCTTCCTGAGACCAAACCTTGTTCCCTGAGCCAGAAATGTGCTTCCAGGGGACTTTCCTCCCCGCAGCATGGACCCTTTCTTGTCTGCCCATCCCTCCTGCCTCCTGCCTTGACTCTGTTTGAGTCTGGTGTCCACCCTGCTTCCCTGGGCAACCCAGTGACTCAGGAGCCGTTGATCTCATCCTTCCTCCTAGCAAGTCTAAGCCCATGTAAAAGGGATCACCATGACGACTTACTGGACCAGAGGCGGGTTCTTCTCCAAAATTGCCCAATCCAATTATAATCCCCTCTTGGGCCAATGATACCGCTCTCTCTCACTAGACAAGAACAAGGACACCCCAAGTCCCCCCATGTTGCTGACCGCCATGCCATCTTTTGATGAGACTGAAATAAAAACTGTGGATGGGGATGTGGACAGCAAAAAGGAGCCCAAGTCCCAAGTATCCTTACAGAACTGCCACATGAACCCTCCCTGAGACCTACATCCCTGTGTTTGAGATTTTTTTTTTTAATTGTTGTTGGGTCACTTGTAATTCTAAAAGCATCCCACAGCTAAACAGGCTTCTTGACTATGTACACTTCAACTTATTCCCTGCAAGTCCAGTACAAATGCCACCCCTTCTGGGAGTCCCTCCCCATAATCCACCGGGCCCTGAACCTCTATTTCTTTCAGCACTTGGGTCCACTCTTCATCCCAACCCCAGAGGTTTCACCTACCCTGTGAGTTGCTGAACTCTTTTAAAGCAAACCATCTCACCAAGACCAGGGCAAGGGAAGTATATGCATGGAATCTCATTCATTCCACATTTGTTCAGTAAATATTTTCTGAGTACCTCTAAGACAGTGAGTTCCAGGACAGGGTTGGTTTTGCACATACAGATGTGCAGGGTGGAGGGGGATTTGTGGCAGGAGAGGCTGCAGGGCAGGGGAGGGAGCCAGACACCAGCAGACTTGACTTGAACAAGAAGCTGGACTTGGCTCAGTGGAGGGAAGAAACTGACCTTGGGTTTGGGGCGGCTTGACCTTCTTCTGTGTTCTCCTGGTGGTGAGGGGTGCGGGGGAGTGGAGGGGCAGAGACTGGGAAGGCTTTGGACAGTTAGCAGAGGGCTGCTAACATCAGGATCTCTAGGACACATCTGAAAGACACGGCACACGCCCCCTGGCTTTGAGAAAGGAGCAAGCACAGGGGAGTCGAGCATTCATTCATCCATTCATTCTGCTCCCACTGAGGAGTGCGTCCCAGGCACCAGGCACCATACTTGGTGCTTGGAATTAATAGCTGAACACAGAGTACACTGGACTTATTCTGGCTCAAGAGTCAGGAAGTCCTTTCCCCAAGCTCTGAGGTACCTACGTCCAAGGTGAAGACAGATGTATGGATCATTTGGGAGGTCACGAGTTCAACCCCAGGCATGAGCAGGCTAGGTGACATCTAGAGCAGGGAGCAGAGCGTCCCTTCAATTCCTGGAGAGTCTGCATTAAGTTTGTACCAGCCTGTCCCCTCCAACTGGTTCCTGTCTTCACCCTAAATCTGAACAGAGCCCCACCTTGTCCCCCTACCTAGCGCCCTTGCAGCTGTGAGCAACACCATTCACATAGGATGAGTCCCATAAATAGCTCACGGCTGGATGAATGGCAAATGCTTCCACATGGGCCATGTGTCACTCAGAACTCATGTTGCCATTGACAGAAACCCACCTCAAACTAGTTGAGGCAAAAAGGGGATTATATCCACGCAAAAGGGGTTGGAAAGCAAGAAGCAGAATGCAAAAGGGTTTGGAAAGCAAGAAGCAGCAGAGTCTCAGAACATCAGGGAACAGAATTGGATCAGAACCTCCTCTCTCCATCTTACATCTCTACTTCATCCTCTCCCTGAAGGTCAACCCATGAGCATGTGCAAAGCATGGAGGATTTGCCAGGGAGAGGCCCAGCCTGGACACCACGCCCATCCCAGAGCCCATCATGATTGCCTGCGCTTGGTCACCTCTCTATCTGCAGACCAAGCCACCAAGACCAGAGAAGTGAAGTCCTATAGAAACATGGC